GTGAATTCAGCATGATGTGAATTCTAATGGACAGGTTGATCTTCATAGTAACAAGCCACAACTACTGGACAGGGTGGTGAGATAAGACACTATTGCATTTCCAGAATAAGGAGCACATCCTGGACCTATTGGCCAAAGGTAGTTTTTCATTAGCTTTTATGATGGTTAAGGTGAATGGGGAAGATGCATTTTCGTGCAAAGAGTAACTTAAGAGTAACTTAAGCCGGGCGTGGTGGCTCATGCCTGCAATCCCAGCACTTTGGGAGGCCGAGGAGGGCGGATCAGGAAGTCCGGAGATCAAGACCATCCTGGCTAACACAGTGAAACCCTGTCTCTACTAAAAATACAAAGAAACAATTAGCCAGGCGTTGTGGCGGGCTCCTGTAGTCCCACCTACTTGGGAGGCTGAGGCAGCAGAATGGCGTGAACTCAGGAGGTGGAGCTTGCAGTGAGCCGAGATAGCGCCCCTGCACTCCAGCCTGGGCAACAGAGGGAGACTCAGTCTCAAAAACAAAACAAAACAAAACAAAACAAAAAAGTAACTTAAGTGCGAAGAGTAGCAAAGAGAAACAAAGTTAACTTAAGAGGTTAATTTAGACTCCCTTCTGGTTTATTGAATTACCCACTGAGGCCTTTTGATTTCTCTTCAGAACAGCTTCCTAGTTAGTTATTCCCCCTACTCCCAAACAAAACAAAATTAAATCTGACACAGTTCTAAGAGCAAATCCATTCCTGTACAAATGGCATTTTAAAGGTTGCATCTTACCAGAAAGGGCAGGAAGAAACCTATGAGAAAACAGAATGATGTCAATAAACATGGAAGTATTCTGGGTAGTCTTATGTCATTAGTCTCTTCCTGTTCCATATTTTAACACTTACAAAAAAGACTTTAACACTTACAAAAAAGACTTTATCCAGTAACCTGTATACTAAGTACTAGAAAAAACTAAGTACTAAGTACTAGAAAAAACAATTATACATGCATTATTTCACTAATCATCCTAATCACCTAATCACCATGCAAGGTGAGAAAACAGAATAGATAACAGAGCTTGATGACAAACAAATGTGGATGTAACCCTTTATGTACAAAATTATAATTCTAAGAAACTTTAATCAAAAAGCTTACATTAGGCCAGGTGCAGTGGCTCACACCTGTAATGCCAGCACTTTGGGAGGCTGAAGTGGGTGGATCTCTTGAGCTCAGGAGTTCGAGACCAGCCTGGCAACAGAGCAAAACCCCATCTCTACAGAAAATAGAGATGCAATTTTCTACAGAAAATTGAGATGCCAAGGCATGAGAATTGCTTGAACCTCGGAGGCAGAGGTTACAGTGAGCTGACATACTGCAGCACTGCAGCACTTCAGCACTTTAGCCTGGGTGACAGAGCGAGACTCTGTCTCAAAAAAAAAAAAAAAATTAAATTTTGCTTTGATGTCTTTGTATCCAGAAAGAATTGCCTTTGTCACGTAGAGTGGTGAGCGTGACCAGGGTTACAGTTTGGTAAAATGACTGACCGAGTGATATGTTGTAATGAAAAACGCGTGTATCAAAGAAGTCAACAATCTTGAGGGGCTAATCCTGGATTATGTGACTTTGTGAAATCATTTCCTTCTTTGGAGAAGTCACTTCCCTCTTATCCCCACCAAAATGGAAGGCATTTCCAGGTATAAGTGTTCATGAATCTGCTTCAGCAAAGGTGGACAGATCTCTGAGACCAGCCAAGGACTTTTTTTTTTTTTTTTTTTTTTTTTTTGAGACGGAGTCTCACTCTGTTGCCCAGGCTGGAGTGCAGTGGTGCAATCTCCGCTCACTGCAAGCTCCGCCTCCTGGGTTCACGGCATTCTCCTGCCTCAGCCTCTCTAGTAGCTGGGACTACAGGTGCCCGCCACCACGCCTGGCTAATTTTTTGTATTTTTAGTAGAGACGGGGTTTCACCGTGTTAGCCAGGATAGTCTCTATCTCCTGACCTTGTGATCCACCCACCTCGGCCTCCCAAAGTGCTGGGATTACAGGTGTGAGCCACTGTGCCTGGCCCAGCCAAGGACTTTTGAAAGTGGAAGGAGGCTGGGCGCAGTGGCTCACACTTGTAATCCCAGCACTTTGGAAGGCTGAAGCAGGTAGATCAACTGAGGCCCGGAGTTCAAGACCAGCCTGGTCAAATCCTATCTTTACTAAAAAAATACAAAACTGGCTGGGCACGGTGGCTCAAGCCTGTAATCCCAGCACTTTGGGAGGCCGAGACGGGCGGATCACGAGGTCACGAGATCGAGACCATCCTGGCTAACATGGTAGCATCAGTGAGATTTTCCTGTTATATTTTGTTACCCACACTCATTAATGGTCTTGAGATGGGGTCTTTCTCTGTTGCCCAGACTGGAGTGCAGGGGCGCAATCTCAGCTCACCGCAGCCTCCACCTCCCCAGGTTCAAGCGATTCTCTTGCCTCAGTCTCCCGAGTAACTGGGATGACAGGCGCCTGCCACCATGCCCGGCTAATTTTTGTATTTTTAGTAGAGACGGGGTTTCACCATGTTGGCCAGCCTGGTCTGGAACTCCTGACCTCAGGTGATCTGCCTGCTGCGGCCTCCCAAAGTGCTGAGATTACAGGTGTGAATCACTGCTACCAGCCTAGTCAGTGTATTTTGAATAAATGCTATGGAAGCTCTTTTATTTCTCAACACTGTGAAAGACTTATCAACTGTCGCCAGACATATTTAGTAGCGGAGTACTAAATCATCAGCTCCTTCTGCCTCAGTAGTCAATATTACTATTCTCATATAGCATTTGGCCTGCCCCAGGTTCTATGCACTGACCCAGATGTTTATGTGAAGCAAATTACTAAAACCTTGAAAAATAATTTTCCTTCAAGCATTAGTCCCTATGTGTCATTTACATCTAATTCTTGGGTATTTTCAAGGAAAAGTTCTTGGTTGGAATTTGTCAGATTTTGCATTGAGATTAAAGCTAATCAGTTTTGCATGTGTGTGCTCTCTGTCTCAAGAATTGATTTCCTGGAAAGTACTGCTCTCTTGAATTTGCTTTTTTTTTTTTTTTTTTTTTTGAGATAGAGTCTCACTCTATCCCCCATGCTGGAGTGCAGTGGCACGATCTTGGCTCACTGCCACCTCCACAACCTGGGTTCAAGCGATTTTCATGCCTTAGCCTACCAAGTAGCTGGGATTGCAGGTGTCCGCCACCACACTCAGCTAATTTTTATATTTTTAGTAGAGACAGGGTTTCGCCACATTGGCTGGACAGCTCTCAAACTCCTGACCTCAGGTGATCTGCCCACCTCGGCCTCCCAAAGTGCTGGGATTACAGGTGTGAGCCACCATGCCCGGCCTTGAATTTGCTTTTCTAGTGAAGCATTAGGGAGAAACTCTTCAAATCTATCATAATGGCTAATATTTATATAATACTCTGGAATTTACAAAGTAGCTACTTACAGCATTACCTCATTTAATCCCCACATTACAGGGGTTGTTGGAATCCTCATTTGTAGACATAGAAACTAGGAAATGAAGAAGTTAAGTGACTTGCTCAGGGACTAATGACTAATAGAGGCAGAAGCAGGACTCAAGCCTTAGTCCTCCAATTCCAAATCTTATGTCTTTTGCACTATCCCATACTGCCTGTAAGTTTTCTTCCTTTGTTTTAAAGCCATCATTTGTGGTCACCTAAAAATGTGAGGAGAGTCTGACCCTTCATATGCAAGATCTCATCAACTTAATAATAGTTACTGGGACATAGTATCACTATGGCCACAGTACTCAATGTTGGAAAATAACCCCATGAAGTATTTGAACCATTACTCCTATGTGGTTGTTTGGGATACACTGTCTAATCTTTATTTTCAAATGAGATAATTAGTGTATGGTGTTTGTTTCTGAATTGGGCAGCCAGCAATTAACAGGAACAGGCCCTAGCTAGAAGAGGGCTGTTTTTTATTCTTTCAGACAGCCAGCTGTGGTACAGCGCGTGAAATTTCCTCTTTGGACTGTCATTTCGAGCAAATGTCCTTTATTTCCTTTGCTCTGATGCCCCATCCCTCTGTTGGGGGTGGGGCGGGAGGCAAGTTATTGCATCCTAGTAGAATCCCCTGGCCAGATGGCAGTGGCTCATGCCTGTAATCCAGCATTTTGGCAGGCAGAGGCAGGAGGATCACTTGAGGCCAGGAGTTCAAGACCAGCCTGGGCAACATAGTGAGACCCTGTCTCCAAAAATTTTAAAAATTAGCTGGGCATGGTGGTATGCATCTGTAGTCCTAGCTACTCAGGAGGCTGAGGTGGGAGGATCACTTGAGCCTAGGAGATTGACACTACAGTGAACTATGAGTACACCACTGTACTCAAGCCTGGATGGCAGAGCAAGACCCTGTCTCTTAAAAAAAAAAGAAAAGAAAAAAAAAAGGTCTGGGCACAATGGCTCACACCTGTAATTCCAGCACTTTGGGAGGCCAAGGCGGGCAGATCACGAGGTCAGGAGATAGAGACCATCCTGGTTAACACGGTGAAACCCCGTCTCTGTTAAAAGTACAAAAAAATTAGCCAGGCGTGGTGGCGAGCACCTGTAGTCCCAGCTACTCTGGAGGCTGAGGCAGGAGAATGGTGTAAACCCGGGAGGCGGAGCTTGCAGTGAGCTGAGATCCGGCCACTGCACCCCAGCCTGGGCGACAGAGCGAGACTCCGTCTCAAAAAAAAAAAAAAATACAAAAAAATTAGCCGGGCGAGGTGGCGGGCGCCTGTAGTCCCAGCTACTCGGGAGGCTGAGGCAGGAGAATGGTGTAAACCCGGGAGGCGGAGCTTGCAGTGAGCTGAGATCCGGCCACTGCACCCCAGCCTGGGCGACAGAGCGAGACTCCGTCTCAAAAAAAAAAAAAAAATACAAAAATTAGCTGGGCATGGTGGCATGCACCTGTAGTCCCTGCTACTCAGGAGGCTGAGGCAGGAGGATCACTTGAACCTGGGAGACAGAGGTTGCAGTGAGCCGAGATCGCACCACTGCATTCCAGCCTGGGTGACAGAGTGAGACCCTGTCTCAAAAAAAATCAAAAACAAAAACAAAAAGAGAATCCTCAGAAGAATTAAGAGTTAAATTTCTGTGGCAGTAATGTGAGTCTCACCAGGTGGGCTCACTGCCTACTGAGAAGAGTCATCTGGCACTAAAACATCAAAACTAGCCTGGGTTCCTGCCATGCCTTTGGCATGGGGTATCAGTTTTTTTCTCAGGATATGATCACTATTTCCCCTCTGGGGACTTTGCAGTTGGCACAACTATTTCTTTTCATTTTTGACTGCAATTCTAGTCTAAATAGTCTCATGGGCTCTGGCTCCAATCTCCTGTCATTCTAATCCCAAGCAGCCAAGATCAGACACTGGGGTATCTCTTTACTGGCAGCCCCAGACTTGAACTTTGGAAATTGTGGGAAATTCCATTCTTTGGGCACGTAGTACTTGTGAATCTACCATAGAAGAGTTTCTACCATAGAAGAGTTTTCCCTGCTGAGTAGAAATGGCATCAGAATAATATGGAGAAAAGCATAATGAAAATAGTCCTTTATGTGTATATGATATTTTACTACTTAAAAAGTGATTTTATGTTTATTATCTTGTTTTTTCCTCCTTATAACCCCAGGAAGCAGACTGGCAAAGTGGTTAAGAATATCAATTGTGGGCCAGGCGCGGTGGCTCAAGCCTGTAATCCCAGCACTTTGGGAGGCCGAGATGGGCGGATCACGAGGTCAGGAGATCAAGACCAT